GCTATATAAATGTTAATTATTTGTTGCTGTTGGTTTGAAATCCTGAGATGAGTAGAAAGTGTTAACACTCAGGGTTTGATCTTGAGTGACTCCACTCGTTGGTAAACATACTGACCTTGGTGCTGTGAATTTATAAATGGGAAATTCTTATTATAAATTCCCTTTGCCAAATTTAGCAAGCGAGTAATTTTTGCAAGAGACTGTTTGAACGCAGAATGAATAGATAATTAACAAACTCAAGCAAGATTTGAGATTAAGATTCTCATTTTTTTTCAAGTCTTTTATTCAAGAATTGAAACAAGGATTCTTTCAATGCAAGCAAAGGGATTAGTTGATGTGGATGCGTGGAATAGACTCTCCGCCAAATGTTATGCCAATTAATTGATTTAAAAAAGAGTTGGATGAATATCAGAAATTAATTGAGGATTAGAAGGATCAGTACAAATAGAGATGATCAAATGGTGTCTGGAACAAATGGTGTCTTGCTCCCTCCCTTGCCTCCTTCAAGGCATGACTCAAGACCCTCCTTTTCAACTGTGTCTTCAGCCGCCCTCCTCCCTCTCTGCCCTCCCTCATCCCATCCCTGCCTCTCTCCACGCTAGGGTCCTGATTCCTGACTGTTCGGGACCCTGGAATGTCCTCCCGACGTGAAAGGTGCTTTACAAATGTAATTTTGTTGTTGTAATAGCTTTTGAACTGCTGGAATCACAGAGGTTCTTTATCAAGTGTGGCAGCCAGTCATGGATGTAGGTCAAAAAGACATTCCAGAATTTTGCTCCATTTACCTTGGGAGCAGGCGGCTGCGAGAATCTGCAAGGAACTATTGCTCAGGGGTTTAATAATCCTTCCATTATTTAGGTTTAATTTGCTGTGTTTCCTTCTTAATGAAAAGAAACCCATTAAAATTCTTGGGTGATGTGTTAATTAGCAAAACCATTGGAAAACAATAACTACAACAAATTACATTTGTAGAAGGCCTTTCACATTAGGAGGATGTCCCAAGACTGGCCATAGGGTATACTGGCCATACCACCACACCACCCCACATCCATACTTTTGTGAAAGACCCACGGCAGCCAGCTGCTCTTCTCTAACTTTTTTTGTTGAGTGAAATTAATATCTCTCTATGCCACACCTAAAACTATTGGCCTTCAGTGCAAATGACTCTGCTTTGTGCCAAACCATTTCAACAAAGGGGGTGGGGGGGGAAGGAATAACAAGTTCACACAGTTCTTGTCATTGATTGGCCTCATTTACCACTTTTATCAAGAACATAAAGAATGTCACCGGTGATAGTTAATATGTCACACCTAGCAATGTTTGCATAATTACGCACACACACACTAACAATTTCATGCACATATACATATTCCCAGCTCCTTTTTTGAAATGGATTACTTGAAAAAAANTTGCAGTGCATTTCTTCCCCTGTTTAATCTTTCCCTTAAGTGTACTTTGTTCCCCTTTCGCACAAAATAATCGCAGCAGAACGAAACACTTCCAACAGGCTTGCCCATGGAGATGGTAGAGCTGACAGGCACACACCTACATCCACAAAGGTACAGAAATGCTTAAATGCGAGCAAAGGAATTAGGAACTGGAAGAATGAACACTCCAGATTGTTATGTAAATCGTGCACACAAAGCTTCCCAGGCAACCTGAAATGAGCTGAAATTCACATCTTTACCGAAGAAAAGATTATATGAACCATCTGTTACTCCTATTGACACATTTTCTACAATAAACCGATTTACGGACAAAGAGAACAGAAAGAGTAGAGATGTCAAATCATTGCTTCTTATGCCTTATTATCAAGTCTATTTCCTTCCATTATTGCAATTTACCTCAATTCTTGCTGCACCCTGCCAGTAACATTATCATTCTTTTCATGTGTCCAATTAATTGAGATCAGTTCAGCCACTAGTAATAAGGTTGCCAAGACAGATTGGTTTTGTTAAATTGCAGGAAATTGACAGAAAGGTCATGGTGTGTGTAAAAAAACACAGTAACAGTAGCATTGGCATTCAGGATTTCTCCCTCTTTGTTCCCAAATCAGCTACTTGACATTTCACTGAAAAAAAACATTGATAGGTATCGGAAAGCAACTAACAATAATAATCCTTGCATTTGATATAGTACCTTATCACATTGTTTAGACGTCTCAAAGCACATCACAGAATATATTGCAAAGTGGATTGACTGTGTAATTTGTGGGTGAAACTACTCAAGATTGAACAAAAAACAACTTGGATTTATATAGCGCCCTCCACACCGGACGGCGTCTCAGAGCGCTTCACAGTAACAGATCCCGGGGCCAAGCCAGGGAGGAGGGGGAGGAAGGTGACCAAAGGCGTGGTCGAAAAGAAAGGTCTTCAGCTGAGACCTGAAAATAGGAAGAGAGGGAACGAGGCGAAGGGAGTGAGGAAGGGAGTTCCAAAGCCTCGGGGCATAGAGGCTGAAGGCATGGCTACTGAGGGTAGAGCAGAGAACTCAGGGGATGAGGAGGAGGCCATACAACAACAACAACAACAACAAGATTCCACTTATAGAGCGCCTTTCACGTCAGGAGGACGTCCCAAGGCGCTGCACAGTTGGGTCATGACCCGAGCAGGGGGGAAATGGTCAGGGTGAGGGGAGGGAAGGGAGGGAGAGAGGAGGGGGAAATGGTCAGGGTGAGGGGAGGGAAGGGAGGGAGCGAGGAGGAGGAAGAGAGTCGAGAGGGGAGCTGAAGGCACGGTCAAAGAGAAAGGTTTTGAGACCGGCCTTGAAGGAGGAAAGGGAGGAAGCAAGGCGAAGGCACTGGGGATGGAGTTCCAGAGCCTGGGGGCTGAGAGGCTGAAGGCCCGACCACCGATAGTAGGGCGGTTGGGGCGGGGGACGTGGAGCAGACCGGAGCCAGAGGAACGGAGGGTACGGGCAGGTAGGTAGGGGGATAGTAGGTTGGAGAGGTAGGAGGGAGCAAGGCCGTGAATGGCCTTGTAGGTGAGGATGAGGATCTTGAAATCAATCCTCTGGGGATGGGGAGCCAGTGGAGGCGAGCGAGGGTGGGAGTGATGTGATCGCGAAGCCTGGTGCGGGACAGTACACGAGCTGCAGAGTTCTGAATGACCTGCAGCTTGTGGAGGGAGGTGGCGGGAAGGCCGGCGAGGAAGAGAGTTCCCATAGTCCAGCCTTGAGGTGACAAAGGCGTGAACCAGGGTTTCAGCAGCGTGAGGGGTGAGGTAGTGCCGTAGTCTGGCGATGTTCCGGAGGTGATGGAAGGCGGTGCCAGTTGTGGTGCGGATGTGAGGGAGAAAGGACAGCTCAGGGTCGAACAAAACGCCGAGGTTCCTGACTGGCTTTGAGAGGTGGAGAGTGCAGCCTTGGATGCTGATGGTGTCAGCGCCTGAGGTGCGGAGGCGCTGACGTGAGCCAATCAGGAGGGCCTCGTACCTGGTGGAACGGAGGCAACGGGCACCGTTTTGAGGAGAGAGGAGGTCAGAGAGGTAGGGGGGTGCAGAGGAGTGGAGGGATTTGCAGACAAGAATGAGGATCTTGAAGTCGATCCTCTCTGGGACAGGCAGCCAGTGAAGTCTGGCAAGGATTGGGGTAATCGGGGAGCGGAGTTTGGTGCGGGTAAGAATGCGGGCGGCAGAGTTTTGCATGAGTTGAATTTTATGGATGGTAGTGGAGGGGAGACCGACGAGTAGGATATTTGAATAGTCCAGCCGAGAGGTAACAAAGGCATGGACCAGATTTCAGCGGCCATGGTCCAACAAGCAAAAGAAAAGGGAAACTGGGGAGGAGACATGTGGCTGTACCTTAAAAAGGATTTATAGAAAAACAGCTTTAAAATGAAAGACTATTTAGGCCATAATCTGCACACTCTGAAAATGTACGTTAATACGGTATATCTAGAACCAGGTAGGATTTCTAGGCACGTATCTTACTCTCCTGCTTCCTCCTTGTACCCTTTAATGTCTCTAGTTTTCAAGCATTTATCTAATTCCCTTTTAAATAGAATTGATGGTCTCTGCCTCTCAATGGTTTGGACAGAGATGTCAACATTTCAACCAAAATGGTGAACATTTCCTGAAATCTGCTTTAAGTGTGGGAGCCCAAGGTTCCAGGTCCTGATGAACTGTGGCCCACTTTGTCTGGGGGTTTAAGATCGCACAGAATGGGAAGCACCCTTGTTAAGTGTGTTTTAAGGAAGTGTGGATGTGGATCAGAGTACATCAGCACCATTAACATGCTTTGTAAATTCTAGAAAATTAACATTTTTTCATCAGAAGTAATACAATGCTTTTTTTATTATTGATATTGGCCTTAACCTGGGTCACAAGATTTGGGGTTCAAACCTCTCATTGGGTCTTGAGCTCATAGTTCAGACTAACATTTTGAGGCATTTCCGAAGGTACTGATCTTTGGATGAGGTGTTAAACTGAGGTTTCTCCCTGCCTGATCGTCAGGTAATTGTTGAAGATCCCATGACATTTTTGGAAAGAAAGGGAAAGCTTCTTTTTAATATATTGGCCTTTATCTGTGGTCCCTCTTTGCTGGCATTACATGGAATGCTCTGGAATGTCTCCAAGCTCATCTGTCACTGGTCTATTCTAGACAGGGTCTGTTTTCACGAAGGCCTCAGGGTAGAGGTAAAATGTATTGGTTATGATCAAACTTTCGCCTAAGAATATACAGTAAAAGTTATTTGAAGAGCCTTGTGATGTTTCGACTTTGTGATAAGGTGCTATATTGAATGCACGGACTATTTATTATTATTAAAAATGCTGCATTGAAGCTCTGGCTTTTCAATTGTATGTGAAAGTATGATTTATTTTCCTATATAGTATTTCAAGTGAAGCACCAATTCCACCTTAAAAAGAACACAACCAGTTTCACAATCTGGATATTGAGTTTGAGTTTTTTGGAAGCTTGTGCATTAGATCATAAAAGTCCTTGGATCCAGTTGTGGAGTCATGGAAACATCTGTTTGCCAAATGTTGCATCCCATATAAAATAGTGGACACAGCAAAACCTCTCAGAGAGTGTATCCAGGCTGCAGAAATGATTCTCAAACATGCCTATTTGCTTGTATTCCTGATTGCTGTAGTTTGTTGTCAAAATTATCCCCCGGATGATGTGCATTGGATCAATCTATACAGGCAGGGGTTCAATTTCCAGTGCCCTCCAGGGGAGGCTGTGGTAGCATTGAGGAGTTACTTCAACAAAGAGGAAGGTTCTGACAGACTTTGGAGCTTCGAATGCATGCCGACACCACTGAGTATGGGAGAGGCGACAGAATGCTGGTGGGATGAACTTAACCGAGCTGGTCTTGAATGGTAAGCCAAAGACCACATTAATTTGACCCCTCCGCTCCCCCTCCAAGTGAGCTAGATGTAGTCCTTACGGATGTATTTCTTACATATTGTTTCTTTTTAAAAATCAAGTGATCATTTTCAAATGACCATAATTGATAAGCAACCCCAGGGAAGCTATTCTAATGAGTGGAGCTATTGACCCGTCAATTGAACTTTGCCTTTGAACGTTGCGGGCAGCCACGAACGCTCCAGAAAACCTCAAACCAAGAGATGTTTATGCAGGAAGTGGTTCTACTCCAATCTCACGTTTACTGGCAGGTTTCCTCCTGTTTTGTGATCAGGAATTATACATGTGGAATGAGCATGACTTACATAACACATGGAAACCAGCCAGCACCGGAAGGGTTAGAACACATTATTTTTTTCTGACCTTGACATTTCAAGAATTTTTATTTTCTTTATTGAGAATTTCCACTTCTCTTTGAGGGCTTCAAGGTTAACTACTCTTAAGTGCAGTGTACGTGGAATCCTGTAGCTCAGTGGTCAGAGCACTAACCTTGCAAGCGAGATACCTGGGTTCAATTCCAGGCAGGGCGAAGCCTTGGGCAAGTTTCATTACTCCACACACCTAATAATAATCCCTCCAAAACAAAACAATAATAAATTGGTCATTTTCAATCCATGACTATTTGTGGGACACTGCTGTGCGCAATTGGCTGCCGCGTTTCGCCCACAAATATACAGTCAATTCATTCTACAGTCTATTCTGTGAAGAGCTTTGAGATGTCGAGAAGACGACATTATTATTATAATCCTGTAGCTCAGTGATAAGAGCACTCACCTTGCAAATGAGAGGACTTGTGTTCGATTCCAGACAGGGCGTAAGGACAGTTTCCTTACTCCCCATGCCTCTGTTTACCTAGCAGTAAATAAGAGTCCAGTTATTAGTCAATTGGCAGATCACTTTTCTAGAGATAATAATTCCTTCAAAATAAAAAAATAAAAATAATAATCTGGTCACTCAATCCACGACTGTTTGTGGGACACTGCTGTGCGCAATTGCCTGTATCGCCCACAAAAATATACAGTCAGTTGACTTTACAGTATATTCTGCGAAGCGCTGTGAGATGTCTCGAAGATGTGATTAGACACTGTATCAAATGCAAGGATTATTATTATTATGATGATACATTTTGCGTGTCCTTTTTTTGTTCCCTTTTGGCTTTCTTTCCTTTCTTCCCTCTTCTAAAGACTGCAATTGTTGCTGCTCTCAGCTACCTCAACCGTTCCTCCTGTGTAATCCTAGACTCTTCATGTATACTTTTATTTCTGGCAAGCTTGTACAGGATTATGTCCTGTACAACAATGTGCTGAAAATCTCAAAAGGGAGAAGATGGCTGCCAAAATTAAGGAATGCCGGTATCTTGGGAGATTGTGGTTCGCTTTGTGTGCAAGTCTTGCCGATTGCCGAAATACAAAAATAATAATAATTTGGACATGCAATCTGTAACTCTTTGTGGGACACTGCTCTGCACAATTGACTGGGCATTTTGCCCACAAAATATACAATCAATTCACTTAACAGTATATTCTATGAAGCGCTTTGAGATGTCTCGAAGATGTGATAAGGAGCTATATCACATGTAAGGATTATTATTACTATTGGCAGGGAGAAAGCCAGTCAGTAAGAAAGTAGGGGAAAGGAAAAAAATAGAAATAGAGAGTGAGAAAGAGAGGGAGAGTAAGAGACAAATAATTATACACACACACACTAAGCTGACAGGGCAGTCAAGATACAAGCCACAGAGGCAGAGATACAAAGATGCACTGACAGACCAAAAGAGAGTAAGAAAGACAACAACAACTTGGATTTATATAGCTCCCTCCATGCCGGACGGCGTCTCAGAGCGCTTCACAGTAACAAATCCCAGGGCTGAGCCAGGGGGAGGGGGAGGAAGGTGACCAAAGGCGCGGTTGAAAAGAAAGGTCTTCAGCCGAGACCTGAAAGTAGGAAGAGAGGGGGCGAGGCGAAGGGAATGAGGAAGGGAGTTCCAGAGCCTCGGGGCGTAGTGGCTGAAGGCCCGGCCGCCGATGGTGGAGCGGACAAGGAGGAGGCAGACCCAGTGGAGCGAAGGCAACGGCACTGTTGTAAGGAGAGAGGAGGTCAGAGAGATAGGGGGGTGCAGAGGAGTGGAGGGATTTGAAGACAAGAGTGAGGATCTTGAAGTCGATCCTCTCGGGGACAGGCAGCCAGTGCAGTCTGGCAAGGAATGGGGTAATCGGGGAGCGGAGTTTGGTGCGGGTAAGAATGCGGGCGGTAGAGTTTTGTAATACCTGGATTTTATGAAATGTTGTGGAGGGGAGACCAGCAAGGAGAGCATTTGAATAGACCAGCCGAGAGGTGACAAAGGCATGGACCAGGGTTTCAGCGGCTCTTGGAGTGAGGTATTGGCAGAGACGGGCGATGCATCGGAGGTGGAAGAAAGCGCTGCTGGTGAGGGACCAGATGTGGAGGAGAAAGAATAATTGGGGGTCGAACCTGACGCCTAGGTTGCATATGGGTTTGGAGAGTTTTTAGGGGGAGATCGGGTAGTGGAGGAGGTGAGAACCATGTGATTTTAGATGTTGATGAGAGCTAAAGAGTATGGCTTCCGTCTTGTCAACATTTAGCTGAAGGAAATTCACTCTCATCCAGTTCTTGATGTCTGACAGGCAGGATGACAGAACATCAGGGGACTGGGGGTCGCAAAGTGAGGTCGAAAAATAGAGTTGGGTGTTGTCCGTATACATGTGGAAGTGTACCCCATATCTGCGGATGACATCCCCAAGAGGGAGCATATAGATTAGGAAGAGGAGGGGGCCAAGGATGGATCCTTGGGATACCACACAGGTAACCAGGTGAGAGCAGGAGGAAAAGCCATTTGTGCAGATGTACTGCTGGCAGTTTGTGATATAGAGATCTCTCCACAGGGAGAATTAAAAAAAAGACTTGCAGAGACAGCAGCTCAATCAGAGAGATCCGGAGAGAGAGTGAATGAGAGCAAAATCAGAGGAGAATGAGATGAGCGTCAGAACACAGCACCTAGAACATACTGTGCAATCTTATAAATCCTTGGTAAGTTTGGGCTGTTGGAAAAGTGTTAAAAAGAGCATTTATATGATTAGAAAGAAAGTATAATTTATACATAATTGAAAACTTTTTTTAATCAAATACAAATGTAAAATGGAAGAGATGACTGGTATACTATAGATTTCATTTCACTGTAAGTTTTTCACTGGCACATGTAATTGAAATGGATTGAATGCCTCTTATTGAGAAATTAATTGCATTGGTGGCTTGACAGTGTTTTTTTAAAGGAGCCAGGATTGTCCTGTGGAATGTTTTGCAATACATCTATGGAGCCTGGAGAGTGAGGCTAAAGTGCAGATATCTGACAAACCTGGTTGTGCTCTCTGTACCTCCATTTACTTTGGGTCTGTGTCCATTCTCTGCAAAATTCCTATTGTAGGGATCTAGATTTACTCCATTATGTAGCATTTTAGAGCACCCATAATTTGGCAAATGATTAAATAAAGCCTTCATTTTGAAGCTGGTATTACAGAACTACAGAAGCTAAGGCTTAATTCAACAATTTGCCATAAACAGAATAAATCTCGAGCCTGGTGGTATTTCACCTAGTCATGCCCAACTTTGTCAAACATGGGATAACATCACACCTGACATAATTGCACTTGTGATTTCATTGTGCTTCCATACACATTGCAATCATGGGACATTACCTAATGAAGGCTGCAGGAAACTCCAGCAGTCTCTTATGCGCTATGTGTAAACTATGTGTAAACCTAGGTATGTTATGTATTATGTGTATTATGCACCATATTTTAATATTTTAATAGAGGTAATTACAGGTGCCCTTAATTAATTAACAATAATAATTAATAATAATAATTAATACATAATTTTCAATCAATGTTCAACATTGTACACACATGTTTAAACGTGGCATAATACTGCACTGTTTACACATAGTTTACACATGGTGTATAATGGGCCCCCAATGTTACAAAAACAAACAGTGCCATTGCCAGAAGCATAATTGGAATTCTCCTGTAATTGGATGCAGTGCTAAACGTTCATGAAAATGACACCACCATGTGTGGGAATCAACGCTTTGAATAATTTTTTCCAAAAGAGACATTGTAAATCGAATTTTGTGGTTTTCTCAGTAAAGCTTTCCAACTAGATTAAAATGTCAGAAAGTGGTGAATCATAGAGGTCAACAAATTTTCTCTTCAACCGTGCCTTCACCTTCCCTCTCGACTCTCTACCCCCTCCTCGCTCCCTCCCTTCCCTCCCCTCACCCTGACCATTTCCCCCCTGCTCGGGTCCCGACCCAACTGTTCAGCACCTTGGGACGTCCTCCCAATGTGAAAGACGCTCTATAAATGCAATCTTGTTGTTGTTGTTAAATTAAATCAAATATTGCCATTAATAGTTCATATATTAATCATTATCAGGTTGGCTCAGTAGTTACCTCACCTCTGAGTCAGGTTGTGAGTTCAAGCCCCACATTGGGACTCGGAATCAAAGTCTAAGCTGACACTCCAATGCAGCTCAGGGGAAGGTGCCCTCCTTCGGATGAGATGTTACACCGAGGTCCCGTCTGCCTGTTCAGGTGGACGTTAAAGATCCCATGGCACTATTTGAAAAAAGAAGGCACTTTCTCCCAATGTCCTGACCAACAATCCCCCCAAATAAAATTGGTCACTCACTCCAGGGCTGTTTGTGGGACATTGCTGTGCGCAAACCAGCTGCTGCATTTTGCCTACAAAATACACAGTGAATCCTCTTTACAGTATAACCTGTGAATCGCTTTGAGACGTTTCAATGATGTGATAAGGTTCTATATCAAATACAAGGATCATTCATATATTATTATTTCCTGCCACTGCTGACACACTGAGCCTTATGTCTTTGTATCACTTCATTGACTGAAAAGATTAATGTTGTAGCCAGCTTCCAGCCAAACCTAGAATTTATTTCCTCATCCAAAATGGATAGCAAGAAACAAAAATTCTTCTGATTCTAAAATTTTCAGAGCAGGCAAATTTGAGCCATTCAGAAATTCAGTCCCAATTTTTAAACCAGTTTTCCAGCTGGTTCTTAAGAACTACAGAAAACCCACTCCCAAATTAATACTGAATTTAACAATATGTGAACATTTACACGGCTCTGAAATATTAAGAAAATAGCATAAGGTTTGAGGCAGGCAGAATTTCTATCCCCAGGAAATGTATTAGAATCCATATGGCAGGTACATCTGGGTAAAACAAAATACTGAGTTAATTTGTGAAAGTAAGACAAGTAATACTCTAATTGGTAATGGAAATAAAGTTTTGTGTTTTTATTTTGTTTACTTTTAAACTATTTTAACTGAACATATTTAATGTTTAAACTGATGGTGAGGCTACAGAAAATCAAGCAGGGTTCCTACTCCTGGAGTAAGAGCGGGGGAGTTGGAGTAAGAGTGGGGGAGTGGGACGAGTTGGTAGCTCTTTCAAAGAGCTGGCGTGGGTACCATGGGCCAAATGCTGTAAAATTTAATGATTCTACAGTTACTATGTTATGACCATAGCTGGGGAATGCATTGAGTGGGTGTGAATGTCAGGTCTCAACAGAATTGGGCATGCTTGTGATGCCAAGTTATATCAATTTGATTCCTTTTTGCAGAAAGTATGTTATAGTCAGTCTGACTTGGTTTGGTAGCACTCTATGCTCTGTGGCAAAGGAGTGGGCTCAAGCCCCTACCAGTCTGATACTCCAATGCAGGACTCAGGCAGTTCGACACTGCTGGAAGTGCCATCCTTCAGATGAGACACTTAACCAAGGTCTGGCTGTCCGTTCAAGAATCGTGACACAACATGAAAGAGAAGGGAGTTTCGAACAGTGCCCTAACCAACAATCCTGTGGATAAATTGATCATTCACCCCCTGACTGTTTGTGGGATATTGCCCACATTGTGAGATCTGCGCAAATTGGCTGCTGTGTTCATGTACAAATACAGTCACTGTAAAACACTTTGAGACATTTCAGTGTTACAGATGGTATAATCAAATGCAAGGTCTATTATTATTATTGGAAGTGTTCTTTTTCCTTCAAATTACAACATAGTAATTATAGCCAGCACCTTGGGATGTCCTCCCGACCTGAAAGGCGCTATACAAATGTAATTTTGTACTGTAAAGTCTGTGACGAATAACCCGGAACTGCACAACTAAATTGGGTGAAAATCAAATGTCCGGATGAAGCAGCAACAGTATAAATTTGAATTAATGAATAGACAGAAGAATAAGTCAAATGTGCAGAATAAACCGAATAGATAATACACACTGATCTGTGGTGGCATCCTTAAGGCATAACTGAGGATGTTCCTAACTGAACACGCACACACATGATGTCGCACAGTATAGCACAAGTTTCCCTGACAAAGACAGCACTCATGATGTGCTAAGACCTTTGCTTAACAAATGTTGTGCTGGATACACAAGACACTTGTCAAGCCAGTGCAAACTGACAGACATGTGGAAATAACTGAAGCTGAGCTGTGGACGTGGGGCTCCTCTCAGCTGTTCATCTAACTTCTCATCTGTTCTGCATAATTCAGTGATCAACACACATGTATTCAGTGCCAAGATAGCTCTTGTATCAGTGTTATCCTCCAAACTAAACTGAACATCGGAGAAAATCGACAGCTCCCCTAACATATCAATTTAACAGTGGGAACCTCACTGTTTACACCTCACTGATCCTATTGGGGATATTGGGAGTTTTGTTCACCAGATTGTGAAATGTGAATTTTTCAGATCTGTAACTGGATTTTCACAGGTCTTTTACTTGGATGTTGTGTTGGTCAGAGTCACGTTCAGTATTGTGTAGTTCACAACGTTTAGCTTTTATATACTAGAAATTATGCAATAGGAGGAGAATTTCTCCCAACATTGTATTTGAGTGTTTACATCTGATTGATTCCATTGACACTCCAAAGCAGTGCTCGGGGTGGGGGTTGCAATGTCAGAGGTGCCCTCCTCCGAATGAGATGTTACATCGAAGTTCCATCTGCCTGTTCAGGTGGACGTTAAAAATCCCATGGCACTGTTCAAAAAGAGAAGGGAGTTTCTCACGGTGTCCTGGCCAACAATCCCCCAAATAAAAATTGGTCACTCCCTCCAAGGCTGTTTGTGGGATTTTGCTGTGCGCAATTGGATACTGCGTTTCACTGACAAAATATACAGTCAATCCACTTTTCATTATATCCTGTGAAGCGCTTTGAGACTTATCGCTGATGTGATAAGGTGCTATATCAAATATCATTATTATGAACATTAATAGTATATTACGGTATCTGTTAAAGCCTATCGGAAGTGTTCTTAACTTTATGCTGCCAAGAGATGCACAACATACCAAATGCTTTTAAGTGTTAATATCTGATCATTTTTATGTGTGCTTTCAGGTATCACACTTGTTCTGACAACGGCATTGTAGTGGGAATACAAAGTCAATATTTTGAGGCAGTTCTGGATCGAGAATGGCGGTTCTACTGCTGCAAATACGGCCGGAGATGTCCATATTCATGCTGGTTAGTACAAGTCGTTCCTTTCTAAACTATGCAAACCCTAGGTAGGTTCTTAACATCTGTATTTTCCCTCCTCCCACCCACAACATTCTTCTCAATGGGGAAATTGAAGAAATAGGGACTGTGGGATTGGACTTCCAGTTCACAGATCATGGCCTTTAGCTAGCCAGATATCAACTGTTACAGAAGACAAAAAAACTATATAAAAAAAAATGGCTCCACAAATCCGCATGATCTTAAATTTTAAGGCAAAAGACCCCACTCCACAGTCTGGAAAAGTTCAATTTCAAAAGTTCAAAACCCTAGAAACTACCTAGGGTTTACACAATGTTGTGGACCTGTGTCATCATTGAGAGTGGTTGGGAGGTGGGAGAGGGTCTGGGCTCAATCAATGTGATAAAAGGACCACATTAAGCTCAGCTCCATTGTTTCAATTTGCCTTGAAAGTTAAGGAATTCACAGCGAGATGTATATGGAACCTACAGAAATGAATGTGTCAAGAGGTGGCATGATTGTTCTTGAGGGGGAAGAGTACAAAACAATCATGTTTCACTACTGAATACTCCTCTATTGAAAAACACCAACATCTAGCCTCCAAGAGCCTAGGTATCTCATTACACTTGGACTTGGCAGATTTCACTTTTAGAATTCCTGGGGCTTGGAACTAGTCAAGTTTTAATGGCTATGTTCCTGTTTTGCTGGGAAGCAGGAAATTGCTGTTAATAAACTTTCACAACATGCTGACTTTGCTGCCAATAGACGAACCATATTCATTCAAAATAAATGTGTTGATTTTGTTTCTCCCTTGAGAATTTCCTCTTCCAATTTTCTCCCCTTTTACATTTTTCTGGGCTCTGATTTCACAAGCTCCTGTTGCCTCAGGTGTCCATTCTTCATGTGTGAACCTTGACAGTGAGTGTTGACAAGCTATCGTCCATGGAGTGTATCTCAGCCTTGTCCTCCATTGGGGACAACTGGATGAGAGAACTCTTCTTAACCCAGGAAAACTGTGATTAATCCTCGCTACTGGTCCATCTGAGAAAATTAGTGATTTTACCCCTCGGTGTTGTTTTAGAAGGACTGTATTTGCAGTTGATTGTGTTCAACCACAAAATGCACAATCACTACACTTTACAGTATATTCTGTGAAGCACTCTGGGATATTCTTCTGACATGAAAAGCGCTGTACCAAATGTAAGTATCATTATTATTATTATTATCATTGTCACACTCTCCTTCCACTTTGGGCTTTGAACTTTGAATCCAGCACAGATGGATGGGACAAAAGTCTTATCTCTGTCAGAGTTTGAGAGATTCTTCAGAGAATCTCAAACAGATAGTTGATCTCAGACATTGTATCCTCGACCTTCCAGTGACTGCTTCATTGGATGGTGTTACTAGATATCTGATCGTTCTCCTCTTACATGCTAGGCTTTGCTACCATACCTCGGCGCTGACAGCATCTCCCTCCATGGATGCACTCTACATCTCACGGAGCCAATACAGAACCTCCCCTCCCCGATCCCGACTCCTAGCTCAGGTCCGAAACATTGATTTTCCAGTACCTTGCGATGTCCTTCCGACATGAAAAGCACTCTACAAATGTAATTTTGTTGTTGTTGTTGCTTGCCCAAAAGAGAATGGTAAAGTCAACTGAGATCCCAGTGCTGACACTGTAAAGCAATGCTTCTTTGCACTTGGTTTGCCCATCACAGGGTGGTGACCAAATGGGTTACCTTTAACAGCAGCAGTTTTACAACATTGCAGCCAAAGACTGTTTATCAGCAAGAACTGGAAGAAAGAAACTCCTGACAGCACAACGCCTTAGAGAAGATTTATAAGTGTTACAAGTGTTCCAGGTGCCCCAGGGCAGGCAGGCAACTTGTCAGCACACAATGGAGCTGCAGTGGGGGTAGTTTGCGGTTGCTTCAGGTCACAGCCCTTAAGGATTCCTAAACTCACTATTATTATTACAGCATTAAGTAAAGAAAACCGTGGTCTAACCTTTCAGATTGTCACATCTGCATTAAATCAGTGTTCAGCAAACCAGGAAGTGCATAATAATATAGTTGGCAATAATATAGGGGCTGTTGTTGAAAGGACAATCTTGTGTAGGCTGAACTCCAACTCTCAGACATCGCATCCTACCTTATTCTGGACCACAACCCCACTACTGAACACCAAGCTATCATTGCCCAGACTGTCACTGACCTCATCTCCTCTGGAGATCTTCCCTCCACAGCCTCCAACTCATAGACTCCCAACCTCGCATAGCCCGCCTCTCCCTCATCCCCAAGATTCACAAACAGGACTGTCCGGGTAGACCTATCATTTCAGGCTGCTCCTGCCCCATGGAACATATTTCCTCTTATTTTTCCCCCTTATCCAGTCCCTACCAGCCTACATCCACGACTCTTCAGATGCTCTCCGCCACTTCAATCAATTCCAGTTTCCTAGCCCTAACCATATCCTTTTAAGATGGATATTCAGTACCTCTACATCTCCATTCCCCACCAGGATGGCCTGTGGACCCTCCACTTCTTCCTGGAATAGAGCCCAACCAGTTTCATCCACCAGCACCCTCCTCCACCTGGCTGAACTTGTTCTCACATTGAACAACTTTTCCTTAACTCCACTCACTTCCTCCAAATAAAAGATGTCGCTTTGGGAACCCAAATGGTTCCGAGCTATGCCTGGCTTTTTGTAGGATACATTGAACAATCTTTGTTCCAGTCCTATTCAGTTCCCCTCCCTGAACTATTTTTCCAGTACATTGATGACTGTGTTGGAGTTGCTTTCTTCTCTCGCCCTGAGCGAAAAAATCATTCATTTTGCTTCCAAATTCCTCCTTCCACCCCACCAGCATCCACGTTCAACAGATAATCCTCTGTCATTTCTGCCATCTTCAGCGTGATCCCACTACCAACACATTTTTCCATCCCCTCCACTCTCAGCCTTCTGAAGAGGCCGCTCCCTCCGTGACTCCCTGGTCCACTTGTCCATCACACTAACACCTGCTCTCCCTCCCCTGGCACCTACCCATGCCAGTGCAGGAGATGCAACACCTCCCTGTTCACCTCCTCCCATACCACTATCCAGAGCCCCAAACAGTGCTTCCTGGTGAGACAGTGATTTACATATACGTCCGCTATCCTAGTATACTGTATTCGTTGCTCACAATGTGGTCTCCTCTGTATTGCGGAGATCAAATACAGATTGGGTGATCCCTTTGTCGAATACCTCCATTCTGTCCGGAATTGCAACCCTGAGCTTCTGGTCGCTTGTCACTTTAATTCTCCTTCTCACTTCTCCTTCTGACCTCACTGCTCATGCAAAACGCAAACTTGAGGAACAGCACTTCATCTACCTCCTAGGCATGTTACAGCCCTCTGGCCTCAACATTGAGTTTAACCACTTCAGACCTTAACGCAGCTCCCAGCTTCCCTCAGCTGTGCCTCCTCTCATCCCCTCTTCTATAACCATTCACACATCCTTTGAGTCTCAGAAACATCTTTTCTTTCTATAATCTCCCACTATTGCCTTCTTTTGTCTTGCACCATCAACATCTCCCATCTCATCATCTACTGTCCTCCACCTTTGTCTTTCTTTCTCTACTTCTTCTCTGTTTGTCCTTATAAACTGCTCCCTTTCAGCATCCCCCAGTTCTGATGAAAGATCATCAATCTGAAACGTTAACTCATTTTCCTCTCTCCATAGATGCTGCCTGACCTGCTGAGTTTTTGCAGTTGGTATTTTAGTTGACAATATTAACAATTGTGACAAATGTTTGAAGAGGAACGCATTGGCTTTAGATAAATGAAACCCCAGCCAAACTCATTTATTTCTTGCATTGATGTTTCTATGCCCAAGCAGGATTCAGTTCTATGCCCAGTCATGCTAACACTACAATTTGTGACAGTAATTACTTGTGAAGGGATTTGAGAATTTTGACATGTTAACACACTACAATTATCAAAGCTTGTTCTTTAAATGTCTACAGGTTCAATGAGGGAGAGACACAGAGGAAGTTAGGCAGTTCTACAATACTGTGGTATTACTGTAGTGTCCACAATACTGTACTGATAGGATGAGGCAGAGAAAGCAAATATGGGAAGAGGGTGAGAGATATGTTTGTAATTAATAAATTTTCTGCTTCAATAGTTTCATGATATATTTTATGGTGCATATCATTTCATTACAGCAACAGCAATAACCAGCATTTATGTACAGAAACTCAGAACCATAGAAACAGGAACAAAACACAAAGTATTGCAGATGCTGGAAATCTGAAAGAAAAACAGAGCGAGCTGGGAAAACTGAGTTTTTCCAGCTCTCTCTATTTTTGCATGACCATAGAAACAGGAGTAGGTCATTCAACCCCTTGAGCATGTTCCTCCATTCGATAAGATCATGGCTGATCTGTACCTTAAGTCCAATTACCGTAGGATAATGTCTCCGAGTTCTTTACAGAGACAGTGTCAGATACTGAGCAAGAGTTCTGTAGTAGAATTCCTTTTATAACATGACCATTACATTAATTTCACTTTACAAACTGTTGCAGCAGAAAATATTATGTTACACTTTTCAATGGACAATTTCCATTCGAATGTATGCACATAAAGATAATCTTGCTCATTTGTTAACCATCATAACTACTGAATGCAGTTCAGTTAGATCCCCAGATCCTGTGGATCTAAACTCCTCAACCTCCAGGGCTCTCCCTCAGACTCATCGAACCAATGTACAATCTAGGCGTCTGGTTCGACCCCCAACTGTCCTTCCTCCCCCACATCTGGTCCCTGACCAGGCAGCCTTCTTCCACCTCCGCCACATTGCCCACCTCTGATGGTACCTTACTCCAAATGTAGCCAAAACCCTCGTGCATGCATTTGTTCCCTCCCGCTTGGATTACTCAAACACACTTCTCGCCGGTCTCCCCAGCTTCACTATTCAAAAGATCCAGCTCATTCAGACCTCTGCTGCCCACATACTGACCCAGATCA